GATGGCAGTTGCTAAGCCATATAGGACTTTATTATGATAAAGAACTTTGTATGTGATTCTTTAGTCATGTGATCTACTCATGAAATTGAGTTCTCATCTAATACTTAATAGGTAATGAGTGTGTGATAGTGTGTGCAAGAGAAATTACTCCAACCTAGAACAACCTTGAGTTGTATAGTAGGAATAACAATTGTTTTAATTGTCTTGAAGAGAGAGGAATCAACATAAAAAGAGAAATTGTGTTTTTAAAGCTTGTTAAGACACCCTTTACATGATCTCACGTACCATGAAGTCGTTAAGCATATCCATATTTATGGCAAAATGCAATATACTTAGTTTTATGGAGTTCCACTTTCAGACCCAAACAATCTGTATGCATTTGCTTTCTTAACTTGAAGTGATTATTGTTGTTATTACTACTACTTTTTTATCATTATTATTTTTATGTACATGTTAGTATTTAAGAGAGCACATGTACAAATGAAACAAAAAGAAAAAAAATTGGATTAAATAATCAGTCAACCTAATTTCATTGTAGTGGCCTGGTTGAAGAGCAGGTAGTATAAATAGTTACATTAATAATTGATATAATGTAGTGAATCATTCTGGCCTTGAATGTTTTAGCTAAATGTGTAATCAACAATGATTGTCTTTAAAATTGAATAAATACCCTCACTTTCTTTCCCAGTAATCCAAGTTGCTGTAGAACTACTCAATGTAATGAACTCAGTTTTATATTAAACAAAAAATAATGGTTAGTCATATAGAATATTCAGTTGGAAGTGAAAGAAAAACATCAATTATTAGGCTGAGGCTACACAAGGTCATAATACTGATGTTTGTAAAAGCCCATAAAATTTGTAACATCCTTTTTAACCTTCAGTAGTACTGTAGGATATTTTATTATATTAATGAAGAGGAAATCCTAAATATGACAATTTTTATTACTATAAAAATTCATAGACCAGTTTTAAGACATATGGATGTGTTATGGTACAATTGGTGATTGTAAAGAATTTTTGAGATTTGAGAATAATTACCAAATTCATTATTTGGTGAGGTGTGTAAAGAACAAAATCCTAGTCCTATTTTTAAATAATTATATTTGTTGAAACAGCTTAAGTGTGTTATGCATCAGACATCTCCATATCTACCAGTCTTCTGATTTATGTTAATAGTAGTTGGTAGAAAATGAACAGTAAAATGCTCTGATCACTTAGATGATTCACAGCAATTTAGAAGACAGGAGGAATCACACAAGGGATGTATGGTGCTGTATATAGTCTCAACACATATGAGCAACATTACTGACTAATGAATTTTTAGCAGTGAATGCTAAATAGGAATACTTCTGTAGTTGCTGGGTGAAGAAAGTTCTTTTCCTTCATGGTATAGTTAATGTGTAAAGTAACCATATGGTGCCTTCAGTGTGGTTACTGAAGTTTACCTGCATACACTAACATCTTAAATAAAAGAAAAAGTACAGAGTTGCTGCTAATGAAGAAGCATTCTTCATTCCATGACCAGAAAGAGTAAATCATTAAACCTCATGGCTGATATAAGACTAAATCTGTGTAAACAAAAAAAAAGAAAAATTAGTAAATGGAATCCAGTGAAAACTTATATTAGTAACATTATTAACAGAAATAATAAGCTTAAATAAGAATGGTTTCACCTGAAGGAAATGATGTAGATCTGTATGCAAAAGTTGGGTTGGATTTTTGCAGATAGCAGTGTATAATTTCTTAAGGTAATTGCACAAGAACAGAAGAGTGAAGGGCATTTATAGTTAGTTTAAAAATATAATTGTTCTGTTCCATTTGGTCTGTGTACCTAAAGTATAAAGAAAAATACTCAACTTTAAACTTAGAATGACAATTTATATATTGCACAGTTAAATGAAGAGCAGGAGTGGTTTTGTGATAATCTAAACCCTAGGGTTTTTGTATTTCTCATAGCCAAGTCTCTTCAGAGATGGATATACTCTATGTTTTATTTTTTATTTTCAATGTTACTAATCAGTGGATTTGCCTTGAACATTGACTTTTCTGTTTACTATTATAATTTTATATATATTTCCTTTGGTTTGTCAGCAGCTAATAGATTACGAGTGATTGTAATTTTTATTTTATATTCCAGTATAAAAACAAACTAGGGCAGTCAGGAATACTGAGTATAGTAGATAATGCAGCTTATCAGAAATGGAAAATATTGTTATTTTCATACAGAACAAAGCTAAATCACAGTCTCTGCAACTCTGGTAATACATTATCTTGTATAGAGTTCATGGAACTTATTGTTCTCAGATTTAAGTTTCTAGCTTCACATAAAAGTTTCCTGGGCAAGTAATGCCTAATTTATAGGCAAACACAAAGCTGCAAAATCTTTGCTGCTTCTGCTCCTGTTTTTGTGGTTTTGCCATTTGATATCTATTTAAAAATATTTGAATTTAGATTGTATAAAGGTTTGTAGTTTGTAACCCTTGCCCCATGAACATGTCAGATTTCAATTTGGGAAGTGCAGATGTTGTTGATGTAAACAAAAGAATATGAAAAGAGAAAAAAAGAAAAGAAAAACAGGAGTAAGGCAGCAGTAAATGGCAGCAGTATCCATTTGATGGGTAGGGTCTGGTGAGATATGTTGAAGTGTGTGTAAAAAGTAAATTTACTTAGTGAGGGACTTCTAAGCCTTAAGCTGATGTCATCAAAGAAATCTCTCTAGTATTGTATATGTATGTACAGACCACTGTAAACAAAGGGTATGTATTTTAAAATGTACAATTAATGTATTTAGTTATCATATAAAGTGTACAGTTCTCTTTTTCCTAATAAAATGTAAAGTTGGCTCATAATTCTTTCCCAAGCATACTTTAACATACTTAGTATATATATAAAACAAAAGGATTAAACTAAAATATGGGACTCATACCCATATGAAAAACTGCATATGCACTAGCACATACATTTACAAAACCCAAATAGAAATGTCGGCATACTCTAATGCACAAAGAGAAGCTGAATTATACGAATCTCTCAATCCCTTGTCTTTTGAGGATAACCAAATAAACCCACATTTACCTACTTATGCTACCACAAATACAGACACTGAATGCTACTGTAAATATCCAATAAATGCTTATTTTAGAAATAAACTAATATTATCCTGAACACTATCATTAAGTGAATCAGATAATGGTTTTGAAGTCTTTTCATAAAATTACTAGAGGTGCAGCACTTCTAGCTTTTCAATTCATTACCCCAACATTACATAACCTTACCAATATGGCAAAAGTATGACATCTACTGGATCATCCTTTAAAGGGTTAGGCTACATGGTCTTTTGAATGAGCTCATGTATTGAATGAGCTCATGTAATATCTGGAGTCCTTGATCTCTTAACATCTTTATAGAGGAGTATAGAAAATATTCCTAATGAACCCATTTCAGTTTTCTATTAAAATGAATAAAACTGAATTAATAAAACTAAGTTTCAAAAAACTTCTTTTCCTGTTGTTGAGAAAAGAAAATAGCATTGACTCTTACTCTATAGAATGACAGCCTTGGAACTTTAACTTATGAACAGATATGAAAGGCCCAACATTAAAGAGCACGTAAGTATTCCATTATCACTAACTTCTATTGGCCTGGTAAAATGGAATCTGTTGAGGTCTTGGATCCAAGAGAACTAATAATTAGGTGCATGAGAGATAATGAGTGAGAGAGAGACAGACGGACAGAGTGAGCGAGTGTGTGACTGAGTAGATACCGGTAGATTGAAATCTTTTTTTTTTCTTTTTAACATAGATTAATTGTAACATGTTAACCAATTATTACAGTAATTTATGCAAAGGTAACAGCCATTTGGCCATGAAAGAAACAAACATTTAATTTAATCTTGTTTATTTTCCGATTATACAGTGTCAATAAAATCCATGTGCAGAGAAAGTATAAAGAGAATTTCATTCACTTCTAGCCACCTTTCATATTTGCATTTACAAATGTTATATAGTGCCTTTCTTAAACTTCCTAATCACCCCTCTGATGTTATAAAGGATCCTTCCCTGCTGTTTTGAATTCTAAATCTGCAACAAGAGCTATGTGGTCAGATGGGAATGTGACACTGGGCAGCGCAACATGTTCTGTAACCTCTTCATGGGTTGGCATCGGGATGACCTGAAAATAGGAAAGTGAAAATTTAGTTTCATTTGAGAAGAGTTAAATAAGCAGGAAAATGCTATTAGCATTTTATCCTAACAAGAACTAACTTTATATTAAAGATGCAAATTCTCTGACAAATAAAAGAATATATTCTAATACTTGATTTTTTCTGTAAATACAATGCTAGAATTAATTGAAAAAGATGGCAACTTAAATTATAAAATTATAATAATAATTTAATGGGAGGAAAAGTTTAGTACTCAACCAAAAGAAAAGCTTTTTATTTTTTATCACTTGAAACTTTAGGCCCTGTCCATTCAAGGGGCATCACACCATACCACAGACATGGGAGATGATGTTAGAAACAAATAAATGACAGCTTGACCAATGAAGAGAACATGGATGTTATTGAGATGAAATGGCCTGAACCAATCCCAACCTCACCCATGAAAAACAAAGTGTGTCTCCTGCAGTGGGCAAAACCCCCCTGTCTAGGGAACTGCTAATTCTAGTAACACTGGAAGACCTTTGTTTTAACATCTAACCTAATTATTCTTGTGCCCACAAGGGCACTGTCCTTCACATGGACAGGGTCTTCCTCTTAAGTATCTATCTGATGTATCTTTGAACATAGGAAGTTATATGCACCTTGTTATATCTGTAACGCTCTCTATCTTTCAATATGACT